CCCCAAAACCCCAAAACCCCCATCATGTGAGAAGCCATTTGGTTTATTAAATAAATTTATGAAATCAAGATTATAATAATTGTGTCTTATTGTCAGTTGTAGAAATTTTAGAATTGATTCTGCTGGTGAAGCATCTGGAAGTTTTGCCTCATATCTTTGTCATCATCTGAATCCTCCTCAGACTCTGTCTAATTAGGTCTAGATCCTCTTCTATGTTCCTTTATCATATTAAGCTATCCATAGTTTTACTAAGCCATCAAATTATTTTTATCATTGTACTAATCTAGGGCTCTTGATGACAAATCTTGAGTAATCCTCTCAAGGTCCATGCTCATTAGACTCTTTCTTGAGCCTCCCTTTAGCTTTTATTTGCTACTTCTGATGAAACTTAAGGCTTTTGAATTCATTTAGCCGAGCAGAGTTTACTGATTCGAATGAGGAGCTTAAAGCAAATCGTTTTATCTAGCTGAATTACTCTTGTAGTTTGAGACTGTGGGATCCTAAGACACTTCGAACGAGTTTTCTGAGCTGCTAGAATCCACTATCTTATTCAGATCAAGTATCATGTCACCCTACTTTTTCTATTCCAGCTCCTATTCCTCTTTCTCAATTTCATTAATCAAGTTTTAGAGCTCTTCTTCATTGAGCAGGAAAGGATTTAGAATTGAGAATTCGTAGGCTTCCTTGACATCTAAATCCATTATAAATTTCTTAAATTGAGACTGTATTTCTTTGGTGACTGGATTTCCTCTTTCAAGTTCCCTTCTGATATTTGTGAGTCTTTAGATTTGTGTGAAAGTAGCATTGTTAAGGTAATTGTCAGGCAAATCAATGTCAATTGATCTGAATACCTCAACATTACTTATTAAATCAATTATCGAACACATGTCGAATTTGTAATCAAGTATCTTAACAAGTGGGTCTACATTGGTATTTGCTTTAGAGTTCTTGATCTGAAATGGCATTTAAGAAGCCAGCTCTTTTAGTACTTCATCATACTCTGCATCCTATTATTGATTTAGAACAAAGGCTTCAAACTCTTAAAGTTGCTCATAGCTCACACTGATGAAGAAATATTTGAGTAGAATTTCATTCTTAATTGCATTTTGAAGAATTATTCTTTGGTTTTCGTTGATAGTTGAAAGGAACTCTGGTATTTCTTATATAAGTTGAAGGAATCGGTGGTCTTTCTGAACTTGCTATCTATATTAAGCCTTGTTGTTAAACTCAGGCTGGACTAAGTTGCTTAAGTTCAACTCAGTGCTTTTAGGCTTTATATATCTCTCCCTTGAAATCTTCCAAATTTGACTTCTATTGAATAAATTAAGCTGAAAAGGGTTCAAGATTTCCTTGAATTCATTAGGAATGTACAGTGGAGCGTTGAGCTGACTATTTACCTGACATTTTTAGAGGAAACTCATTTGCTTTTCACTCAAGGAAAGCAAAAATGCCAAAAGATATGGAGCTACTTTTTCGTATAGCTGGGTCTTGACTATATTAAAGTAATGATCGAAGCCTCTATTGATGATTTTTTCAACGTCATCTTCCTCCTCTTCAATGGCTTGCTTTCTAGATGCTTTTGGCTGAATGACTGAAGCATTCAAACCATTCATCAACTAGGATTTTCTTTGATTTCTTTAGGATACTTTTCCTGTTTTTCCCTCCATCTCTTTATCTTCATTCATTTATGAAGCAGACAGTTTTGCATAATTCTAAATAGCTCTTTCAAACTCCTAGTCATACCATTCATTCTCTTTAGTCTCTTCTTTTTTTCTCATGCTTCTATCTTTTTACCCAGAGTTTAATAAATTACTGCCATTTACTCCTCCAGTGATAGTGTTTTTTTGAAAAATTTCCTGCATAACTTTGCTGGCAATACTATTTCCTTGCATAAATTCCTAATCTAGATCCTCATCAAGATTATCTTAAATCTGCTAAGAGAAAATGTTTTTCACTTTTTCACTCAGAGTTGCCAATTTAGCACTACTTACTGGCCCAGTATTTGTAGACAATCCTGCAATAGAATGAGCATTTTTCTGATTTATTTATTTTTCTTCTCTCTCCTTCAATTCCTTTTCAATGTTTTTACTTAGGTATAAAAGTAGGCACGATATCTTTTGCACATCCTCATGATCTGGCTTTCTTAATATTTTCTTCCTAATTTCATAGCATTCTTAGAAAGCCTAGTATGATTACTTATAGTTTGATTTTTCAAGATGGTATTTACCAAGTTCTTCTAGTATTTTAGCCACTGGAAGGGATTGAGAACCTATACACTCTTTCTTTATTTAAAGAGCTTTTTCTAGAGATGAAAGTGCCTTCAATGGGACATTAAGCTTTTTATATAAGATTCCAATGTTTAAATAACAATCAGCACAAGCTGTATGATTGTCTCCTCCTAGTTCCTTCTATCTACTGTAAAGTGATTTGATAAAGCATGCTAAACTCTTTTAGTAATAATTTTATTCAAAGTAGTAAAGTCCTACTAAAAAGTAACAATTACTTGCTTCTAATGAGTCTTTACCAAAGAATTTTTCTATCCATTGAACATATCTCACATATGCTAGCTCACATCTAATTTAGTTTCCTAAGGCATTATAAAATGCAGCAATCGTGGCAAATGCTGAAAGCATCCATTTAAAATCTGCAAATGTGGGAATATTCGAGAATCCCTAGCGCATTCTATTAATATTTGGAAGTCTTTTGGTGTAAGCTGAGGATCTGTCATCTCCTGCAACACTTCTATTTTCAACTTTTTCTTTCTTAGCATCCTATATTTGTTTTTTAATATCTTTCACATTGATTCTTAATTCTCCAAGATAGTATTCGCATTCATTTAATACTTCCTCAACTTTAGATACATCAGACCCTTTAATATGTGAGTAATGAATAATGATTACTTAGTAATTTGCACTTGGTTACTAGCAAACCTTCAGAGACAAGACCATAAATGTCTCTTAAGTTTAATGATTATGAATTGTTGTAGTCTTTTATTTTTTTTTCGTCTATAGTTTTCCTATAAATAATATTTATGAATTTAAAAAATGTACTTTCTGAATGAATACATTTCCTCTGCATTTATACTAGCACTATGATAGTCTTATTTAGCAAGAAGTATGAGAACTTAAACCCATTTCGATTCACCCTTTTGCTTTTGATTAATCTCATAAAACTTATTCTTTTCATTCCATTTTAGAGGTTATTATGAGACTGCATCACCTTAATAAGATGAATGAGATTTCTCAGCTTAAGATATTTGTTAATTATTCATTGTTCCAAATTTCTTCAGAGCTGATGCTTAAGCATGCTCAATTTTAGGATCTGGTTGACTTTGTCTGACTCTTAGATCTTGATTTCTAGATTGTTCATTATTCCACTATAACTTAAATTTTTAATTACTAATAAAGTATTTTACATCGTTATCATTGAATTCATCTCTAAGTTCTGGAGCTACTTCTTTTCTCCTGTTTTTGTCTTTTGCGAAGCTTATTTACTTTCTTTAGGGATCGCTATCTCTATCAAAATCTGTGTCAGTCTTTAAACTTTCATTTTCATCAGCAAATTTCTTAGAAGTGCTTGGATTTTGCTTCTTGTGACGCTTCTTACCCTCTTCGTTGCTTTTTCTCTTCTATTTATTCTAATGTCCAGAGGAACTTTCATTTTGGCTGTTTGAATAGTAATCTTAAGGTAAAATTTAATCTTAATCTTCTTTATCGCTCATAGTATTCAGCTGCTATTGTCTTGATGATTTAGATTAATCTCCTCTCTTATTTTACTACTATTAGAGTTGATTCATCTTCATTTATTCATCATGGTTTTCCCAGTGGCCTTATTCCCAATGAAGCTGTTAATGTTCAGCTGAACAGTAAGCATTTTAAGGGGAGCAAGGGCAAAATGAGATTGTATCCTTCCCACAAATTACACAGGTCAATCCTATTTCCTCTAAATAATATTAACTTAAATATTAGATAACTTACCATTTTAACTCTTATTTTATTCATTTCTTTCTTGGACCATCTAAGTAAAGGTCTTGGATTCTTCATTATTATTGTTATCTAAAATTTATTGATTTAAAATATTAGATACTAGATTATGATTCATTTTAAGATAGACTACTTATTGTACCTCTCATAGGAGGTGATTCTTAACTATAGTCTAATCCTTATATTTTTTCTCCCACAAAGCTGACAATTTTTGATTATCTTGGCATGAAAGTTTGATTCGCAGATCTATTGCTCTTACTCATCTTAAAATTTATTTAATTATAAAAATATTATTACTTAAATTTTATTGGGATTAAGAATTCTAACTTGATAACTAATTAAACTTCTTATGGGGTTTTGGGGTTTTGGGGTTTTGGGG